AGAGAGAGAGAGAGAGAGAGAGAGAGAGAGAGAGAGAGAGAGAGAGAAAGAAAAAAAATCGAGAAAACTTACTTCTGCGGCTTAGACATCAGGAGATGAGATCCGAATATTCGAAATCACTTGCTCGAATGGACAAAATTGAAATCCATTGCGATCATATGTTCATTACAGATGTTAATGAATTTCTTTTAAATATAAACTAATTGTAAGTGGACGTAGATATACACTATATATGTATGCGTATGCGATAATATTTTCCATTTAAAACTTACATATAAATAGACGGAGAAACACAATAGTGCGACTAGCGTTGAAAGCGCATATATAATACTAACGCAAATATATGTAAATACATAAGCCTGGAAACTCGAAGCTTGAAAGTCCCGCTTAAAACACAATCCGTAACAAAGTTTCGTTCGTTTCGTACATAATATTTAGGCCTTACGTAGGAATCTGTATCATCAGGTAAATTGAATTTAATGTTTTGATCATGTAATAGAATTCACGATTCGTATATTATATTATATACTAAATATTTTAAATAGGTGTATACTTATATATGTATTTGCATATATTTATAATAATATTATATATATAATATAATATACATATAGTATATATATTATTATATTATATATATATATATATATAATATTTACTCTCTATATTTCATAGAATTTTCTTAAAAATGTGCTTCTACGCAACAAGTGATTCTTTTCATCGAATAACTTGACTTGAGGTCCTCTTTTACTCGTCTTCTATTCTTTTTCTCTGTTTGCACATCGACATCGTCATGTTTAAAACAATATAAAATAACTAATAATTCATGAAAGGAGAGTGAAACTCGTTTAGTAACGTAAGCGCAATGATTATGTTTCATACGATGTAAATCATTTCAAACGCAACAAATGCGTATATAAATAAATAAATAAATAAGTATTTTTGATTAGCGATCACTCGTGAAAATTCAAAACAGATTATCACGATGATGCTGAAATTTGAAGATTTCGATGCTACGTGTATACTTAAGTGTGTACGTACTACTTTTCTAATTCTTTAGATTTATGCTCGAATGGAATATTTAAACGTTTCACTTAAATATAAAGTTCTCGTACGCTACCCTGTGCTTTAGAATCTATAAAGACGTTGAATTGCGAGGAAGTTACATTTAAAGTTGCTAACATAGCTTATATATTATCGAATTCTTTTTAAAACAATTTTCAGACATTTGAACATCCACATTGGAATTTCAAATAGGCAGTAGAATTCAGTAATATTGGTCTGTCATGCAGACGGTGGGAATATCAATCTAGAAGATAAACGAATAAAATCCTCTCGACAGGGAGAAAGTTCTTTTCTTTTCAAATGCTATTATATGTATAATTATTACTTATAGTACCAAATAAATTGATTTTTATAGCAATGATAGATTAAACGTGTCATGAGAGAATATGAACAATAATATAAAGATATTTTCTATTCGTTCATCTTTTAGAGAAACCTACCTTACTTCTGCACTATCCAAATATATTGAACACATTGGCACTTTAATTAATGTTAATTAATTGTATAGTTTTTAATATATTTGGTGCGTATACCATCGCCCAAACGTTTAATCGCACTCATTTATGATTAAGATGAAACTAAACATCACACCTGTCAAATTTAAAATATATTATCTTCAATTCATTTTAGATTTTACATTTAAATTAATTTTAATTTAAAATTATCTAATAAAAATTTGTTAAGATAATATAACAAATGATTTGGATTAACAATCTGTTGCATCGAATGCAAACTCAGACTTTCCATTATTTAACACAGTCATAATTTACTTTGGCAACATAATAAAACATAATGGATGAAATTAAAAAGATAGATAAAAATCTATGAAAAATAAAAATATTGCTTTGTATATATAATAATCGTATATATAATGAAACCTGTTATTATATTAGCAACTAATATAATAAGCGAATAATATTCAAAAAATATGTTTTTTAAAATATATCTCTAAATAGCTAGTTCTAAAATATAAATATATATATATAGTCAAATTCTGACGTAAGAAGAATATACGTAATATAAAGAAAACTCTACGTAATCTTTTCTTTTTATTTTTAGCTATACCATAAATTTTATATCTTCGTAATTATACGAAATATGATAATAAAGATAAAAGCATTTAAACAACTATGCTTTTTATGTACTGATTTATTACATATATTATTTTTATATAGAATTTAATTCTGTCAGACTATACGACTATATGGATATGGAATATCAAAAAAAGAAAATAGTTAAGTTAAATTTAAGAGAATGAAGTAGGAACGACATGTGATCACAACCATCTGTAGCGGATTGTTTATCATTTGAAAACGTGCAAAAACGATCTACCTCATAAACATACAAAATGTATGACAAAATAAACTATAAAGTCGTAACAAATTTTAAATATACTGTAACAATAACGAAAACACCTTAACTCTCTTATGGGTTGTAAAATCGCGTTTTATTTATTCTCTTAATTTCCGACATCGACATTTCCTTTCTCTTCTCTCATTCTGATTTCTTTTACATTGTGATTAATCTCCTTGTGATAAACTTACACAGGGATATAAATTTCATCCGTGATTTTGTATAGAAAAATATAAAAGTTGACCGCGGTTAAAGAGTCAACAAACTCTATAGAGGAAAAATGGATTGGACATTTTTCTTCATATTACCATTTAAATTAATAATAAAATTTGAGATGAAATAAAACATTATAAATATATTGAGTGAAAAAAGAAAACATTATAAAAGTAAATATAATGCTTCCTTCGTCCAAAAATCATACATTAAAATAAAATATCCATAATCATCATATCCATAATTTAATCACCATAATTTAGGTGAATTATTATATAAAATACATACATATTTTTAATATTATTATGTTGTGTAGTATATATTTTATATATATATGTACAAATAAATATTTTGTCACTTAAGAATCAAATTAGAATTTGTTAATAAACAGAAAGCTATTCGTTTCAAAATCATACATCTCGTCAGAATTTTAAAAACTAAGTGTTATATAATTATTAAGATTAAATTCTTAATGTTCTTTGAAGTACGATTAAACTTTTGGACGGCATTATTTACTTATATCTCTTTCTTTCATCGAATTCAAAGATTGTAGATTCATGAATAAAGTGGACAAATTTGTTTAAAACGGTAATATACTCTGACAAACATGTAATATTTTCTAAGTCAATTGTTTTTTGAACGATAATTTGATTGTGTTTAGATAAATACTGCCAAATGTACTTTCTGCCCTTAATCTTCAGGTATCATATTCTATATCTAAGTTATTTTGCTGACTATACCGAGGCTTTGTTTAAAGCTTTCTGTAGTTCCTGTACCTATTTTATTTCGAATCCTATCCGCTAATATTTGATATTCGAGAGTCTCATTACTATAATAACTATTAAATTACATAACTATTGCAATATAGTATGGTTTCTTTACCTTAAAAAATTTTTTTACCATGTAAAAAATTTTAATTATTTTGTGTTTGAAAGAACGAAAATGGCACCAGTCTTAGAATCACTGAACCGATTTTCTTCATGTACTCGATATTATAATTAAATAAATATAAAAAGACAATAGGTGACATATGAAAATTATAAAGTGTATATGAATAAAATTCTATAAAACATTAATATTTCATAAAATTATATCAAATTTATGTTATAATACGTTAAAAAATGAATAAGTGTAGCAAATCGATATAATAAATATATTATTAAACAACATCAAAAAGTCACATTTAGAAATAGAACTTGTAAAATATTCTCCAAATAGTCATGTAAAACTAAACTCTAAAAGTTAGGATTTTTGTCACTCAAACATTTTATTTTTGAGCGATTTAAAAATAATTTGGAAACAATTTAGAAACGTGAATCTATTGAATTACCCTTGATTCCTACCATTAAAGTCATTTAGGCTAACTACGATTCTCTTAATTATTTTAAATGCATTTAGTGCATCTTACTTCCTGACTACTATTTAATCACGATCGTTTATACGTATAATATGTTCGTTTTGATCACGATCTTATTTTTTTCTGATTATAAGATAAATAATTAATTCATGTTACATTAAATGCAACTTGAAATGTAAGAAAAAAAAAACTTTACTTATGCTATTCGTTAAGTAATTCTGAATTATGCAATTTGTGCGCTTCATTTATTGAGTGCGCCAGGTAAGACCACTTTGATCTTATGATGAAAAAAGTTGGTCCGCTATGTATTAAAAAATCGATATGAAATAAAAAAAAAAAAAAAACAATGATATTTTTACCAACTATTGCAGAAAATGCTATCCGGAATGAAATAAAATGAATACCGGAAATAGTATTATACGTTAGTGGGTGGGTCCATAGCGCAAATAATAGATTTCATTACACTAGCAGCAGCTAAAGATGCATAAGGCTGCCATTCCTTTATACGAGAGCCATCTTTATAATCAGAAATACCTCGAATAACGGCAAAACTTTCACGGCAATTACCCAAGATACTTTCGACTACAGCATCCATTTCTGTATCAAATGCAAGAGCTCCAAAACGGGTTGCAAATTTCTGTCTAAGTTGGTCATCACGTGCAATATGTCTACCAGATGCTACAGGTGCTAAGTGAATTCGTGGACAGCCATTTGTTCTAAAACATCAAAACATTATTTTTATAGAATTAATATTAACAAAAATAATTAAAGTTATTAGATCATTAGAGATATTACATGTATAATATTTTAAGTAATAAAAAGTACTATACCATAGAACATAAATAACAACTTTATTTATGTATTAAAAATAACAACAATAACCTTTTATTCGTCGCATCTAAAGGTGCAGTAGGATGCGCAACTTCAATAACATCTCTTTCGCCAATAGCCATATATAATTTGTCAGACTCTGGTGGAGGTAGTTTAAAATCATGCTCCGTTTGATTGTTTAAAATATCTAAACCTTCCTTCAGGTACGTTTGCCATGGAGGATTTCGCTCATTCTCTGACTAATAGAGATCGTTAGTAACTACTCTAAATCCTCGTTGGAAACTTAAAAATATAATGACTTACTTGATCTTTCAGATTAGCAGCAATTTCTTGAAGGCATAAATTTGGTGGACAATATTCTTTGGTTTCAAAATGATAATCACCATTTTCATTTGTCTTTGCACTTTCGCAATAAACGTAAATAAACTTCTTATTAAAAGGAGCAGGATGAGATATAACCACATCACCAAGTCGCACATGTTTGTTATAATCTGTATAATGTGGTACACCTCCACCAATTCCAATTAAAAAGACAAAATCAACTTTTTGAAATGTACCTAAAGAAAATGTAAAATACTTATTTTATTGTATAAAATTTATCATGATTTATTATGAGCAAATTTATCAGTTATAACTAAAGTAAACAATTTAAATACTACCTAATAATCTGGTAGTTGTATTTCCTGCTGCAGTCATTGCTTCTCTTGTATGACCTACAGTTGGTAGTTTTGTGCATACAATTCTATGTGCACCAATATTGCCTAATGTATAAACATTTGATTCACCTATAACAAAAACAATCTTGTCTTGCATCAAAAAATTCTTATTTATCCTCATCAGTAGTTTTGAAATTTGTGTATGATACATGTGCACTGTGCTACTATTGAAAGACTGGTATCGAATTTGTGTACAATGTGGCTAAATTGATTAAAAATGACTCATTCCATACGGATGCAATTGTGTTTAATACCTATTACAAGATATATAAATTAAATATTCTATTATATTTATCGCTATCAAATAATTATTTTTTAATTGAAATGAAAGAAGTACTATCATAGTATCTTTATACTTAATATAAAAAATATGATTATGAATTATAAAATTATCATTATTTTCATAATCTTTATTCTTAAATTTCTCTTTTGAGAAAAAATTGACAATTGAATTAATATTTCATAAATAATTCAATATTTTACTCAATTAATATAATCAATATAATCAATGTATATATAAATGTGTATATAATAATAATGATATATTGTTGTGTATTTAGTATTAAATTAATTAGATAATAATAAATAATAGTAAATTAGATAATAATAATAAAAAATTGTATTAAAAATAACAAAAAATTAAATTAAATTTCAGAAATATTAATTAATTGTTTATTTTAAAAATAATAGTAATAAATTGAAAAAAATTAATACCAGTCTTGAATAGAAGGAAATGAAATGATATATCTTTTATACAAACAAAACAAGATAACATATAAACAAAAAAAACACACAAACAAAAGATATATAATTTGTGATAGTGTTGAACCATGCCCATTTTATGTTTATATTTATGCAATAGATTTAACTTAATTTGCTAATATTGCTGAAAGAATAAATGTTGAAGATGAAGACATGATACATGAGATAGTCGAATGAATTTCGTTGCAACATAACAACATATTGTTTCTGCGGCATAGAAGAAATAATATTTTAATAAAAATGTCTATTAATATGTATTTTTCACAGCACAATGGCACTGCGACACTTCTTGAATACAAGCAATTGGCAAGCTATAACATTAAACGACATTAAAACAAAAAAGAAATTATATTACAAACTACTTTACCAAAACGACATGTCACTCGCGGTACTCCATCTGTCGCATCAGGTGAGCTTGCCGTACCTAAAGTTTCATGCGTTGTAAAATATACGTACGCAGTACATTTTGTACTTTTACCGTCAACTAACATATAATATTACAATTGATACGACGAATTTTAAAATTATCTTAATACGAAAATACAAAATAATAAAAATACAATAAAATGTTCCATAATTATGTTGGAAATTCGAAGTTTCTTATGTACATATATATTAATCCATAAAAAACGAAAGATAAAAAAATTTGAGTATAAAATCTGTTTTAATCTCAAAATTTTTCTTTCTACTTCTATAAAAATTGGAATATCAGCTTATATCTTCAAAAAACAAATTCCCACACCATATATAATTTATATTCCTCCTGTTATAGAATTGATGAAGATTAATTCATAAAAGCTATATGAAGAGTAATTACTAGCTATTAAATGAAATATATCTTACCCACAGTAGTATAGCGAACAAATGTTTCTTTGTTTTCAATCATAGAATCAACTGCTAATTTTTCACAATATTGTGCAGTAATAATTGCTATAGTAGGTTGTTTTGCACTTGCCATTGTTGGCATTTGTTTTACAACCTAAAGAGAAACAGTACAATAATTTTTCATATAATACCTGATAATTCCTGCTATTAATTAAAATAGTACACTAATAGTATACTATAAATTTATCACAAAATAATAAAAATTAAATTTACTTGTATTTGAGTATCTTGGTGTACAACTCTAGTAAAAGCTCCATGTTCCATTGCTTTAACAACACCTTTTTCCTGTAATTCTTTTAATTTTACTTCAACAGCAGAAGGATCCCAGCCATGTTCTCTGCAATAATTACCACACACTGGTATACTAACTTTTTAATGCAAAAATAATTACAATTATTTTTAATTTTTAACGATAAAAATCTTACTTTGCTATATCAGTTATTGTAATTGGATTTGGATAAGCAGATTCAATAAGTTCTAACACTTTTTCTAATGTCAATTCAACCACTTGACCAATAATTGTCTCATCTGTTGATACTGTTAAGCAAAAAAATTAAATATTATCACATCTTTTAATATATTCTATAATTCTGCAAAATATATACTCATTTAAAAATAAATTATTTGTGGTCGATCTTTAAATTTTTAATAAACTATAGCCTTTGTGTATTTGTTTATGCTAAATATGTGCTACTTAGAACTTGAAATAAAAACATAATGTATACTACCAATACCTTTTATAGAATTACTGACATAGAAATTAAATCTAAAAGTTGTATATGGCAGTAGGTGACCATGAACAGAAAGTGAATGCTTTTTTGGATGTATTATACTAAATAGCAATAAAAGCAAAATAGGAATAAAAAAATATTATATAGGATATAATAAAATTATCATGAAATAGTATATAATTGAAAATAAATTTTTTGAAATATTTAAAAACATATTATTTTATAAATAATAATGTTTTAAACATATTAATTGATCTGATATCTAAATGTACAAAACTTTTTTTTGTCACACTGTGTTAAAATTTCAGATTAAACAAAATAAAAATATTATTGCATTCATAATCATGCATTCATATTACAAGCATGATATACTTCACGAATAAGATATGCATCTAATAATATATATCTAATTTTTCTTTTTAGTCAATCAATCAACATTTTATAAAGAAAAATAAATAAATTGAAACAATCATAAATTAAGATTTTCATTATTAAGTAGAACAATAATGAACATTAAAATATATGTTAAATGTTTAATATTGGATTAATGCAAAAACTAAAGAAAACATTGTGTTAAGCCAATGTTGTTATGGTAACTACTTTATTGCATGAAGCAATAGAACATGTATTTACCGGTCAATAGATAGACGATATTTACTTATATTTTGTAGAATATTATGCATTATCTATGTCTTTCAATATACATATATTTACGTATCATTAATGAAGTAAATAATAATAAATTAGATAAAATTACGATAAAATTAAATGAATAAAAAAATTTTTGCAAAGAATTTTTCTTGAAATTTTTGACCGGCAAATATTCAATCATTATTATATTTTATATAATAGGCTGCATATAATATATTAATAAACATAAATTGCAATAAAATATGCAATTTTTTCATTGTCTCCAACCTGATTTCCAATTAATTCTCTTATATGGAAGAAGTGTGAACAGTATATGACCAGTATCAGCTGTGAATAACAGAAATTAAAAATAACACTTTTATTTTATAGAGAATGAATATATATCACGTATAAAACATGTACACAAGTAACATGAGCAGCACAAATGCTAAGTATACATTTCCTTCAGTTTCAGTTGTAATGCACACTTGAGACACACTGCTCCAATATCTTTCAATAAAGATCATTTAGTTCAATGAATCTAATCAAATAAATCTTGATACTACTCCCTACTTCAGAGTTATTTTAGTAACATAAAGAAAGTATTGTAATATAACTAAATGAATGATTAAAACTAAATGAACATACGAGTAAATTAGTATTTGACACTAATTTTTCAATGTCAAAATTAAATAATTAATATAGTTATAAAATATGATTTGTACATAAGAAATAATATCTTTAATTAGGAAACTTAGGATTTTATTTATTAGCTTATATATTATTACTTACAAAGAAAAATATTTCTTAAATATAATTATACAAAAATTTAAATAAAATTAAAAAATATAATATTGTACTTACATGGTCTAGCTGGAAGATTAACTGGTTCTTCAAGTTGTTTTAATTCTACTTCTATCTTCTTAATTGTAGAATACTTATGTAACATTAACTTCATTATTTTCTTTATAAATCCAACATAATCTGTAACAAAACCACATAGCTTGTTGAAACTAGATATACTATTACAAACTGCTACTACAACTATTACTAATGATAAAGATATCCAGGGTCTTAGTTCTATTACATCTAACATTACAATTACACAAAAAAAAGTAAAAAAAACAAAATATTTGTCATTTTATATCTGTAATAGTATTCTTATTATAATTTATGTACTCTTTTAAAATGATAATATAAAAATAGATTATTATTCTATGTTAATATTATAACGTTCAAAAATTAAAACTGGTTCACAGTTATATAGTAAATCAATACTCTATAAATAAACTTGATGGTTTAATTATATACTACACTTACTATTAATTACATATTACAAACTTAAATAAATTTAAAATGATCTTTACCTCTTGGAAATTCTTGAGGACTGACTAATTCCTTAAAAAATTCTTGTGCCACACTTGGATGTTCTGCTTCCAAAAGTGTGTCCACGAACCAAAATTGAAGGGTTCTAGATTCTTGTGTATGCTTTCCACTTTGAGCACTCACTAAGAATACTCTAAATTGTAAGCAAAGATGCGCTGGATGAATTTCACCATTTGTAACTACAAAAATTTCATAACATTATTTTCTTTTATATGAACACTGTTTTTAACATATCAGATTAAAACATATAGAATTTTATGTACCAGCAGCTGCTTGTTTGTTAATAACTATTCCTTTATGATCCCCACCAGCAACATGAACATTATTTTCATTTCCATTTTCTGTTGGCGGTTCTAAAGCCTGCCTTTCTATTATAAGGGTTGTAGAATTTGCAGTCTTACATTTTGGAGTCATAACAATGTGTTCTAATATAAAAAAAAATTTTTTTAATGAAGTTACTCAACACTTTACAGTTGTGTATAAAAAAGAAGTATAGGTACGTGTTATAGAAGTTGATTTATTTAAATAAAATAAATATTTCAAAATCAATTTAAATTCTATACATATGCATATATGCTGCTGCCAGCTGTTCTTGTCACATATATAATTGCATTTAAAAAATAGTTGATATTACTTTATAATATTAAATTACACTAAAACAGATTATTTTTAAACAAAATCCTCATCTTTTATGTACTCACCTGTCTTTTTATCATCCATTTTGTAACGTTCACTTTATCTGTTATCCAATATAAGCAATTTTTTCTTATCTAACCAAAGTAAGCTACGAGCTTGAACTCGTCCGCACAACTAACGATGACGTCCTCTTCTCTACTGTTCAACTTTTTAACTGACTTCTTTTACCGTCCCACCACGGTAATGCGTGATTGCGCCTGTCAAAACGAAAACTCTATATAACCTCCTTACGCTATCTCGTCAATCTTCCCTTCTACGGCCGTAATAAAAGTAGTCTTTAAAAGGTAATGCATAATAGAGAAACTGCACAAAATTCATTAGCACAAGAAGTAGGTGGTGTTAAGTGATCGATTTGAACACTCGTCGAAACAATTATCGATCGAAATAGTGACACATGCCACCGCCCTACGCCATATTTATATTTAACTATGACGTGTACATTTCAGTTGCGTCATTTCTGTTTTGAAACGAATACACATATATCACGACTGCTAAATTATGACGTATTCGTTCTTACGATATACGTATACGTATACGTACATACCATATGTATATAAATAATTGTGACAAATATTAATTGTAGTAAAATAATAGTAAATACTATTAAAAGTATAGTTATCACTATTGCATAGTTGGAATAGAGTAAACGAACAACATTTAATAAAATTTAATAAAGTTAAATAAAAATTTAATTTTATCATTTTAGTTGCAGTAAAACATAAATCACACAACAATAACTTTCTATAATAAGCTACTCTTCTATAATTACGCTGTTGATCTATAAATAGTTGTATGATTTTTATATATTAATATAAATTAATATAATTATTAATATATATAAACCTGACCTCAATATTTGTATTTACATTTCATATATCAAATATAATATTCGAAAATTAATAGAAATTTAGGTAATAATTTCTACAAAAATATTTATAAAATAGTTCAAAATTTACTTAAAAAATATGTACATAGTATAATCATTTGTTATGACATATTTAACAAATTGATTATGTATAGAAAAAAGTGGATAGTTTAATGATATACTTATCTACATATATAATATATAAAGTAATAATTGTTAATTAAACGTTACAAAGAAAAATAGTCACTTAAATTTACATTTGAAAAAAATGTGTTGAAGTCTACTGTTCCTAAATGAATGTTAAGTATGAATTTTTAGATATTCTTGCTTAGATCTCAGTTTACTCAAAATGATGTTTTGTATCTCTATTCTTATTTCTAATCTTTCAATTAGAGATAATGATTCTGTAAAAGTCATTAAACTTTAAAAAAGATCTGAGTTTTCATCAATTTTTAAAATTTGAAATCTACATCTGTACATTCATGATTGAATTTAGATTTTTGGGAGATGCAATTGATTTAAATGAGATTCTGAAATAGAAAGATCTAATTGGATAGTTAGAACTAGAACTTTCTGATTCTGTAAAATCATTTGCAGATAGTGTCATTATTTGTAACATTATTAGATTCTTATTCATTACTATTGTTAAATTTATCAGTTTTTGATAAATTATGTTCACTATGAGGAAGAAATCTTTACAAATACAGTCTTTCATAAATTCCATCATTTCAAAGTAGAGCTTTCGTGTGTTTCTTCTTTAATCTTTTGTAATTATTCTTTAATCTCCTGCACTTCAATTTTACAACTTGTAAAAATACAAAAATTGCATTTACTTTTCAAAGAGTATATTACAGAATATATTACAGAGTGGATCTATTAACAAATTATAAATCTGTTCCTATTGAAGATAGAAAAAAAATTATAAAAAAAAACTTTGCATTATGGAATAAATTCTATTATATCTATGGTTTTTTATAAAAGTTCATAAGTATAACTGCATTTATTTTTTAAAAAATTTATTATCTTTTTCCATGATTTTTCATATCACTCTGAATTAAATGATATTAGGACATTCATGGCTATTTTTGCATTTCAAGATCATTAATGATTTTTTTAAAAATAAAACCTCATATTTATTTATTATTTATTTATTTTGATATCTTTATGAAGCACAAAAAATAAAACCAATAATCAAAAAAATAAAATCAGCTCAATAACTAGTCTCTTCTGATCATTTAACTTTAAGAAATTTATATTTATGTTATGATATTAAATTATGATTATTTAAACTTTTTTATTATCATAGACAAATATGATATTACAAGCTATATAAAATTTGAAGTTTCTTAAAAAATATTAATTTTTTCGATATTGTACCCTACACTTTCTCATTGCGCTATATATTCATTCTATATAAATATTATTATGCTACACATGCTTACAAGATTATTAGCCTCTTTATTGATATTTACTTCTCAAATGGAAAAATCAATTGTAAGCAAGCATTTAACTATATTGGAAACTATAATATAACACTGCATGTTTCCAATATATAAATAATTCCAATATACAAATAAACTTATTGAAAAATATATGTATGCCTGAACCCACATTTAAGAAATGTTATTAATGACCTTCACAATTGATGTAAGTTCAGAGATGTAAGAATACAAAAATATAATAAACATTATTTTACCTGTACAATTACATTGTTTTTCTACTTCTTTCCATGCTTTGTCTGTTACAATTTTATTTTTAATTTTTAACATCTGCTTACATGAAATTTCTGTTATTAACATTTTTATATTTAAATTGTTTTTCTTCTTCATCATTATAATTTGCTGTTTGGATACGTACTAAAATAACAAATATTATTGAAGGCAAAGCAACAACAAATTACTCCCTCTTTGCAGCTCAGTGCTGCTGCATGTATAGCCTATTTTGTACAAATCCATAAATTTTATTTATTTTCAGCTGTTGCATCGTCAATCGCTTTATCAGCTTTAAATCAAGATTAAATTCTCAGCTTAGTTATTATAACAAACTAGAGTTGTTATAAAGTATGTTATAATAACTAATAACAAAATTAGTTATTATAACATACTATCTCATCAAACTAGATATTATTATAGATTGTAACAAACTAGATATCAAAGACTAGAAATTATTATAGATTGAATAGATATTATTATAGATTGTAACAAACTAGATATCATTATAGATTATAACAAACTAGATATCCTGGTTAAGTTACATATGATCCTTATATATTCTTTTTTCTAAACAGATGTTTGGTCTTATTGTTAGCTAATCTTAGTTTTAAAAAAGTCATTTTGATTGAGAGTTGTCTCTTTTTGAACTCTGCACACTTTCTTTTTGCATATATGTATCACATTTTACAGAATAATAAATACTTTTCTCTCCAATGCAATAATCTGCTACGGTTTATGAAATATAATTTACTATCGAATCAGGAATATCTACAAAGAAAATTTTAGATTTAAGGGGAAACACTGAAGCAAAATTTTCAATTATTATTTTATACTTACATCTCGAATAATTCACTGCTTAAGTTTAATTTTAAAATAAAAGTTGATCTATAGTTGTCTTAAATTTTCGCGCACTTTGATGTGTGAAGTAGTTAACATATTATGGATACCAACCTACATAAACTAAATAGCTATGATTAAATAACCAATGGAACTGTCCATTAGCCAGGTTGTTACTATATACTTTCAAGTAGTGAATTTAAATAAGAATATGTCTCCATCATTACAAATTTAATTTTGAAAAGCTTTCTCAGTTATAGTTAGCTAATATAGTTTTTCAAATACTCAAGAAGAACTATTTTATGGAAATATTTTGCTCACAATATTTTGAATGTTTTATTTTATGTAAAACTGACACAGTTAAATACAGTAAGTACCAATTAAAAAGTTATAATTATAGTACACCTCTTTGTAAATTCTTTTAGTCACTTTTTTAAATGCCTATTAATTAATTTTATAAATTTTTTTATTAATAATTATTAAAAATTTATAAATTTTTATTCTTTTTATTATACTTTTACATATTTTTATAATTATTTCTTATATATAATAACTAATTTTATTTGATCAAAATGATAAATGCATTTACATAAATTAAATGCATTCAATAAACAATATTTTAGTAACCTTAACTAATTTTTAATAAATGTAAAAGTACAAATAAATAATTATTTATATGAATTAATTCTCAAGGATAATATTATTATAGAATTGATTGTTATCATCTTTGAATTCGATCATTTTTCAATGAATATAGGAATTCGTTAATATTTACGATTTTTTTTGTTCAAAATAATGCAAAAGATTATTTGTTCTCTTATATATGATTTTTTCTTATCATCATTTGAATTTTGTTTGATACTTCGTGTAGATCCAGAAGATATTTTCGTTCAAAACAAACGAAGGATTGCTATTGTCTGAAATAACTATCGTGCTTATATTTGTTCGGTATCTAGCAAATTATGAATCAGAACTTCAAAATTACAATCTTTTTGTAAAAAAAAGAAAAAAAATCATACAAAAATTACAAAATTATATACTGAAAAAATTACAAAATTACAAAATTAAAATGAAATATATACATATATGTTTTAATGTAATTTGAACAAATTTATTTTTGTAGTATTTTTTTTGATGATGCATGTAATTTAGTAATACTAAGTTGGTACATATGAAAAAATACATGCAAAAATTTTAATCAAAATACATTAATTCATTTGTTCAGGCTTTAAAGACTTTTATCTAGGATTAATTAGGAATTTGATT